GTTTTTTTAGGGTTTTTTTACCTGAAAACAAGACAATAATACTGATTAAGAAAATTATTTTTTCAGTGTACAGTAGTGCAAGAGAAGAGATGATGCATTATTTCTGGTAAATAAAAAATTTGTCCTTCAATAGACCTTAAAATAAAAATAAAAAATTGTCACAAGGGGAGAACAATGAATCTCAGAAAAAAGGCCTACTTAAGAAGCAAAACAACGTGAGACATCTTAATCTCCCCTCTTTAATTTTGGAAGCTAATGGGTCATTGTGGTCTCATTGAGGGCAGCTCATATGGCCCTGTCTTCAACCACAGATGCACTTAGAAAGGTCATAAGTAATGTTCATTAGGTGCTCTATCTCCTCTACTTTTTATCCTGATTTTGTATCAAGTTTAGGTTGGTGGAGTTAATTTTCAATCGACTTACATGACCTTGAACATTTTTCACATCTGTTATAAGACTATCCAAAGTACCCATACAGTGAGGGTGGTACAGTAGACTTGTAGAATAGCAAACAAAGCTGCCATTAAAACTGACACTTTTATTATAGGCAAATATAAGCCTTAATCTTCAGTCAAAATCTCCAAAGATAAATAAAGCCTATGAAGATTAAATAACACCTATGAAGTAATGAATTTACATTTTAATGACATTTACTTTCTGGTTAATTACCAGTGACCACAGAACTGTAATCAATTAATAAACCCCCACATCGCCTCAAGATTCATGATTATACAAACGTTTTAAGAGCTACATGATTTACATTACTACATTTAGTAACATTAGAGCACAGTCCTGATGCTACAGTGGGCATGCATGTAATCAATATCCTGTTTCATAACAGGAAGTCATATTTTGGTTTGAACCCCCATAACATTTTCCCGAGATGTTAATTTACGACACACAATTGGAAAATTAATTTGAATAATTAATCATTATATTAATGATTATATATATATATATATATAATTTAATTAATAATTTAATAATTACAAAATATTATCAAATTTCCATAAGGATGTACAATTTTATCACTAGATTAATGTCAGGCATTTTTAAAGACCAGGTTTTTTTTTTTTTTAGGGTTTTTTTACCTGAAAACAAGACAATAATACTGATTAAGAAAATTATTTTTTCAGTGTACAGTAGTGCAAGAGAAGAGATGATGCATTATTTCTGGTAAATAAAAAATTTGTCCTTCAATAGACCTTAAAATAAAAATTAAAAATTGTCACAAGGGGAGAACAATGAATCTCAGAAAAAAGGCCTACTTAAGAAGCAAAACAACGTGAGACATCTTAATCTCCCCTCTTTAATTTTGGAAGCTAATGGGTCATTGTGGTCTCATTGAGGGCAGCTCATATGGCCCTGTCTTCAACCACAGATGCACTTAGAAAGGTCATAAGCAATGTTCATTAGGTGCTCTATCTCCTCTACTTTTTATCCTGATTTTGTATCAAGTTTAGGTTGGTGGAGTTAATTTTCAATCGACTTACATGACCTTGAACATTTTTCACATCTGTTATAAGACTATCCAAAGTACCCATACAGTGAGGGTGGTACAGTAGACTTGTAGAATAGCAAACAAAGCTGCCATTAAAACTGACACTTTTATTATAGGCAAATATAAGCCTTAATCTTCAGTCAAAATCTCCAAAGATAAATAAAGCCTATGAAGATTAAATAACACCTATGAAGTAATGAATTTACATTTTAATGACATTTACTTTCTGGTTAATTACCAGTGACCACAGAACTGTAATCAATTAATAAACCCCCACATCGCCTCAAGATTCATGATTATACAAACGTTTTAAGAGCTACATGATTTACATTACTACATTTAGTAACATTAGAGCACAAGCGTTTGGAATCTTCTAGTCGAAATACAGCAGAAATAAATGTTTATGGAGCTGTCAGAGAACAAATGAAGTACACATATGCACAGTGACATTTTCAGAAACATTCATAAAGAGAGCTCAAAGCAAAGAGACACAATAGTGACATTGCCAAGATTGCTGAACCAATAACACGCCTGACTAAGATTCCTCACAAAAGTCACCTTGAGGAACTCATTTAAAATAAATGCATGTGGATTGACTGCCACATTGCTTCAGTAGCTCCAGTTATCAATGAATGCTTTTCCAATTGATGGTTATCTCACATAACAACAGCATCTTATAAGTGGGATATATCATCTCAGCAAAACAAAAAACAAAAAAGGTGGAAGAATGCAAAGTAGCCTATACAAACTTATAACATCACTATGTACACACAGACATATTATACAAATATATGTATGTTATTTATTTATATATAACAAATGCATAATTTCCCAGAATGCATTACCAGTGGCGTTTCAATAGGCTTGTTCGAGATGCATCGGCGCTGCGCAGAATGATCGGTGTATGACATCAAAGTACCGCTCTATTATGGCTCTCGCGGTTTGATGTCATACACCGATCGTTCTGCGCAGCGCCGATGCATCTCGAACAAGCCTATTGCTTCTTTAATACCCAGACAGCCATGTCAGATAGCAGTGTGTTGGTAGGCTGCTGTTTTGAAACTTAAAAAATGTATTTACCTGCAGTACGAGTCGTTCACAAGCTCCACGTGCAGGTGTTGAATTTAATAAAGCCTTTTAAATCGCTGCAAACGATAGGATGTTTTGTTTCAGTGGATTGTAGGTAGATATACACTTAATAATACATCATTTTGGCTCCCTGTGCACTTTAGTATTCCCTGTTTGAGGCAGGAGAAGCTGCTCGCTTGTACGTGAGTGAACTAAATGATTCACTTTGAATCACGAACCGATTCAGATCGTTTGTTAAATCTTCTAAACGATTCATTGATGAGAATCGTTTCAAACGTGTGATTCGAATGATTCGTGTGACTCGCTAGTTTTGATTCCAAACAGCTGACAGAAATAGGACAAGATTACTTAAATATTGTGAGGTAAAATATTTTTCAGACAATGATTTATCAATAAATTGTTCTGATTCAACATCGTGTGGGGTGTGGTCAGTTTAATTCAAGTTCCAACTCATGAGCTGAATTAAAGTCAACTCTTAATTCACATATTTATATTTACATTTATATACGTGTGTATGTATAATAATAGCTTGATCAACCATATAATTAATTAAACAATCACTGAACATGACACGGTGAACTGCCTGAAATGGAAAATTACAGCTATTAAACTCCTACTTGATGAACTGGCTACTTACGTATTTCATTGTGAGATACACCCTATAGAGTTACAAACAAATCTTTGTCATTTAATAATATTGAATTACCCTGATGTATTGTTTTTGACAAATGCTACAGACAGAGTTTAAAAAAGAAAACCGGTAAAGTGAAAAATGGCTCAGTGTACTGCCAGGAATAAAATACAGTCCTCAAACGGCTGTTACACTGTTTTTGTGAATATGTGTATTGTTTTATATACATACAATGAGGTCAAAGAAAGAACTTCAGGGTCAGGAGCAGGTTTGTGCAAAATTCTGAATTAAAAATAATTGGCTCCCTTCCAATTCAAAAGTTGGAATTTGAATTGAATTGTTCACTCCACATAATAATTTGAATCAGAATGACATGAAGAGGAATTCACTAAATTGCAATTTAAATGATGCATTCTGGAAAATGAAGTGTTCACATTATCAGTTCAATACACATTTCCATATACTGTAGGTGGCATTTCAGTGTCAGTTGTGAATGGTGCACAACCTGATTTACAAGATTAGATAATATTTAGTACAGTAATGGGAATTTATGAACATAGCACAGATAGCCAAAACGTAACGCAATTTCATAATCATTTCTGTAAATTAGAAATATAATATAAATCATGAAAAATATTACTCAACCCCTTATAAAATCACCATGGTTTGCTCTTCATATGAGCACTGACAGATGTATTTTTGGACCAGACTGGAGTAAAACAGGCTCGCCAGATCAAATCACTGGCCAGACAAACAAGCTGATTAATTAATAATTTTAATTGTACACATGTAAATGCATTACCAGGCATAAAGGTAGCTTCACAATAATTTAGATTTAAACCTGTTATCTGCATGCAAATTAAATGTGCAAGTGTGAAAGACAAAGATTGCAAAAAAAACTGTGTGTGTGTGTGTGTGTGTGTGTGTGTACTGGTGTTGGCATGCCCTTTTCTATTTTATAGAAGACTTTCGAGGCTATAGGAATAAAGTGATGTGGATCGCAGACAAGCATTTTCCCCTCTCTGATCCACATTTATAATTTATTCAACCCTCATCAATGTTTCAAAAGATCTATTTTGTAGGTTCTTCTCTAACACTGTCTTCTGTATTCCTTCCTCTTCTACCAATTTAGGTGAGCGTCATTTTGTGAGGAAAAAAGGTTAGTATCAAACTCTGTGCTTCACTTTAATCATGTAGCCTACACAAGAAATGCATCATTTTAAAAGTGCACTTTGTAATTTTTCCAACATTAAAAAGGTTTTACACATAAAAAAATTTAATCCAAGGTACACTAACTTGAGATGAATAATCTAGTCATATCTGTAAGGGTAGGATAGTGTCCATAGCCTTCTGAACATCTTTTATACATATATTTTTTTAAACGTGGCCACTATAGCTTTTCCCCTCTCGAGTGACCTTGTGAGTACATCCTTCTTCATGGTTTTCTAAAGCATTAATTCTCAATTTAAAGTGGAGCACGATAGCACTAATAGGGTGTCAAGTGGTGTTTGGCATAAATAAGCTTATATTCAGACAGATGATTTAAAAATTGATACATTACTGCTGAACTAAATAAATGGGCAAATCTCTAATTGAGAAAGTATTAGGGGCAATATTTGAAGAGCAATCATTAGTTGCCTGGGAGGGTGACTATTTTGTCAGGCTGTTAAAAAAAGTTTTTTTTATTTTTTGTATAATTTTTTTGTATAATTTTTGCTGGATTTGGAGTATCACATTCAAATTAAAGCCTCACAACATGTACCAGGCTATAAAATTGTGTTCTCACAAAGCAGTGTACATTAACTTTTAAGATCTTAAAGAGATTGTTCATCATCATTAACTCGCCCTCATGTTGTTCCGAACCCTTGTAGGTTTTTTTTCCTTCTGTCAAATACAAAAGATATTTGCAGAATGCTGACACCACTCTTTACCATACACTGTAAAACTTTACTGTAAATTTACAGGTATTTTCTAACAGTATTATACTGTATTTTTATAAAACAGTAACATGCTGTATATTTTACAGAATGTCTGTAAATATAAAGCAGTTTTCTGTTTTCAGCCCGCTAAATTTGTAATGAATTCAGCAAAAAATTTACATTTTTTAGTTTTAAAACTATTTAAAAAATTGTTTTTTTCACATTTCAGTGCAAAAATGTAAAAAAAAAAATTATAAAAAATACAAATAAATGAATAAACAAAAAATGTCCTATTATTTTCCCCTCCTCTTGTGATATGGCATGGCAGGCCAAATCACAGTTCGCCACAGGCCAACTTTGGCTCGCAGGCCCTGGATTGAACATCTCTGACGTAGAAACACTGTGCCGCATAAACAACTGCATTTTTGTACCGTGCATTAAACCTCACATTAACCAACTAACTTAATCAGTTTTTCTTATGTTCTGTGTCTCTCTCCTAGGAGAATTCTTGCCACCGAGGAAAAAAGGTTTGTGTCTTGATGAGCACTTGATGAGATTGCATTCATTAGAGAACACATAAACCATCAGCATAACATAACAGTTTGCTTGAGTCTGTAATTAACACATTTACAGTTGCATTAGGAGGGCAAGCATTAGAGTATTTTGTGGAGAATGGGCACTATGCAGTCATTGATTGCGTTGTTACGTTCAGTGCCATTCATAATAATTTTCCTTTGTTTTCACACACCCTAATTGTGCTCCCCATGCTAATCAGCGTTCCATAAAGCTGCATGTATTTGTCCATTAACATCTTCATGAGAATATTATTTGAGTAAAAGTCTTAAAGTATGTGATATTTATTGTACTTAAGTACGAAAAGTATTTTTTTAATCTTAAACTTAAGTACTTAAGTATTGAAAGTAAAAGTACAAGTAAATGCAAAATGGAAAAGAAGCAAATAAATATATAGCCTATAAAAATGTTCATACACAGCTTGAGTAGCAAGTTTGTGTTCAGTTTGAACTCTTTCTTCCATTTTGTATTTTTGGGTAAGAATAAGAAGCACTTCATCCGGTACTTAGTGTCTTTCATTCCAACATAAGAAAATATTTCTGGAATCTGCATCTGAAATAGCATTTAGATGTATTTACACAGTTTATGTATCACAGAGGGGACATGGATGCATTTAAACTGCAGTTACAGATGCATAAATAATGTTTTGTTTTTAACATAAAACATTGAATACTGATATCTGAAATTATTT